GCGGGGACGTCCGTTGCATTGCGGGTTATCTAATGGCTTTCCTGACTTCTACCCACTAGATGCCACTAGCGGCCTCTAAGTTGTGACAAGCACAAATATCTGTAAATACTGCCAAGTGTCCTCTAGGGGGCCAACTCACTCTGGGAGATTCTCACTATATTAGGTGGTACCAGATTCTAGTATCAAACCCTAACTCACACAAAACAAAAGCTTTCTCTTTCCAGTGCTCTTCCTACCTGATTACGGTGGAGGAAAGGCTTCGCTGTGGGTGGGTATGTCTTTGATCGTCTCCCTTTGGAAAAGACTGATTCTAAGACTCAGTCTTAGAATCTTTGTTAAGGAACAGTTTCTGGCTGCAATTAAATTATACTATCTTCTCCCTTCTGCTTTGTTTATTGTTTTTACTGCACTATCTATAAAAGTATTTCAGTTAAGACTCTAACTGAAATAAATTTAAGACAAAAAAAGGTCAATTTAACTTTAATAAATTGCAAGTAAAGAAAAAAAGGTTATAAGAAGACATAAGAATTGTGGGAGTGGTACCTGAATGATTTAACCACCCCAGAGCCCTGAGCTTGCATAAGCTCTTCTCTGCAGACACATACCCAGCGCAAACCCGATCACATTCCAAATGGGCATCAGAACTGTTGGCCGGACCCTGAATGCAACCATCAACTCATTGAACTTTTTCAAATGATCCTTTTCTTGGTCCCACATTTTCTGTAAGAAACATAAAAATAAAGGCATGTAAGCATTCCGCAGAGGCCTCTTGCTATGTTGAGGCAGCTACACAGCCTGCTTTGTGGTACACAGAAGGCAAAACAACAAAAAGGAAGATGATGAGAACCACCATCTCTCCCAATCCCCTCACACATCAAAGAGAAAAGTAAAACATCAACTAAAGGCTAAAGGGCCAGCAGGTGGCATGGTGGTTAAGGAGCTGAATCCAACAAGGCCAACTCGGTGGTTCAAGTCCTGGACCTGGTGGCTTGAAAAGCACACCAGGTACATGTGTATGCATATCCAAAATCCTAAGAAAATAGAGGAAAACAGATTGCAGCATGGCCGTTCCCCCCAGGGGGCGATTTCTCTCTTTCTGTCTGTCTTGTGAGTTCACAAGCTCTATGGCAAAAATCTAAAAAAACAAAACAAAAACCCACCATAAAACAACTAAAAAGAACCTCTGACACAGAAACGAGGGTGCCAACAAACCAGACAAGCACACCATGGAGCACGGTTCTGGCCGAAGTCCCTCAGACCTGCAGTGCTGGATTAGATGACAAGGGTGCACGCATGAGAAAGGTTTAACCATTGTGAAATCAGGAGAGCAGAGTATTGGCTAGTGTGTAATTTCCTTCCAGATTGCTAGAATGTAAGTATCATTGACATTAAAAGAAAAACGCTTAGACAGCACTTCTTCAGGGCCAGGCTCCATCCTGTTCACAACAGGCTTTGCACAGGCCCCTCCTCCAATCCACGCCATCACTTGTGAAGGACACACTGCTGTTCCCCCATTACACAGATGAGGAAAGTGAGGACAGAGCGGTTAAGTAACTTGCCCAAGGACTCAGAGCAGGCGGTTTAACCTGTACTAAGTTGTGCCTGGCATGGAATTAGCTACTCTACACTGGCTCATTTATTTCTCACCCAAACTCAGTGAAGTGGGTGTCATTAGGCCATTTTGCAGATAAGAAAATGGAGATCCAGAGAGGTCATGTGACTTCCTCCAGCTCACAGAGGGAGGAGGTAGCCGAGATGTGAACCCAGGCCTGTCTAACTACCAAGATCAGGCCCTCCCACTGTCTCTCAGGATACACTATCTCCACTGCAGCTCTGCCAGGCAGGACTACAACTTCTCAGCACAGGGGCACACGTGATTCTCAACCTTGTTTCCATTTCTGCCTGCCCCTGCCATGAAATGTTAATGCCACGATACCCTGTGTATCTGCTCTGTATTGTATGCCCATCTCGGCTTCACACATAAAAAGAAAACATTTCTTGCTGCCCTCCCCTTCTTCTCAAACCAAGTTTCACTCCCTTGAGGACAACATCATTTCCCTTTGGGAAAACGTGACCTTGTGTGATTCATTATTTCACAATCCACCTGCTCATAAACCAGGCTGAGACAAAGAAATGCCCACCTGAATGACTGGGCCAACACTTGTCCGCCCCAGGACGGCCATCTGCCCTGCATAGATGCGGTTCGCTCCATATTCACCTGCATGATCTACTCGGATTATTCGATCCACAGTTGCCCGATTGATATTGTCTAAGTTCATTCCTGAATTGCAAAATCTGACATTGATTCTTCTTCTATAAGCTGAAATGCAAATTGTTATTCTTCATTACTCTCAGGTAAAATAGAGATGTTTTATTTTACAGACACAGAAGGGGACACCTTAGAATTAAGGACATCAGGGCCAGCAGGTGGCGTGGTGGTCGGGGTGCTGGACTCCCACATGGTTGACCATGGTTTGAGTCCCAGACCTGGCAGCTTGCTTTCTCACTTTCTCTCTCTGCCTCTCTCTCTGAGTGCATGTATCCTACAGCAAAATAAATAAAAATAATAAATAAAGCAATTAAAAAAAAAACCTCTTTAAAAAAAAAGAATTAAGGACACCAATGAACTCCTTGAGAGAAGACATGCCCATATATATATTCTGTTTAATCCATATATATGTTTACTTGGTAGTGTTAGAACACAGATTTTTACCTTCAGTTCTGGATTTCTGGCCTCAGTTTATTTGCTTATTTTATTTTACTTTATTATTAGTTTTAAATTTGCTACAAGTCACATATGCTTACTAGAGAGAGAGTGCAAGAAAGCAAGCTGCCAGGTCCGAGACTTGAACGGTAGTGGCCAATATGGGAATCCAATGCCTCAACCACCAAGCCACCCCCGGCTTCACTGCAAATCTGAGCAGTCTTCTCAGCAGGCAGTTAATACAGCAGAGGCTTCTAGGTGGGCGGGGCTTTGCAGTTCACCTGCCCTTCCTCCCACCGCTTCTCCACAACCCATGATGAACCGTAGGAGCCTCTGCAGAATTTTCAAAAACACGATGCTCCTGCCAGTAGATTTCTGGAAAGCCCTTCCCCCTCCTCAAAAAAGAAATGGTATATTGATTGCCAACTTGGTGTTTAAGAAATGTTGTCGAAGGCCAGAGTAGGACACACATTTTCCGACTCTAAGTTTGTGCCTTTTATTCCATACGTCACAGACACCCTGGGATGGTGAAAAGGTAGAAATGGCAAATATAATAATACCCAGTCTCCTAGCCCCGCCAACCCTACCGCAGCGCCTTGTGTCTAAAGCGTCCAAGCCTTTCTAGAAGAACCACAGATGCTCCCAAAAGGATACCATTTTATATGGGTGTTTTCCAGAAGTGTGAAAACTACCCATGGTAGTACCTAGATTTTTAGTGGTATTTGGGAGGATTTTAGGTGGCTTACAGATATTCATTAAACAGCATCCATGCTGTAAGTTACTCCAAGATTCCCTTCCAACCCGTTTGATTGCATCAAGGATAATATTTTCATCCCGGGACACTGAACTTTCAATGTCATCAGCGATCCTCAGCCCAGGAGGCTGACTACACCTGCAGTGATGTCATGCCACAGGTGAGCAGTGACGCCATTCTCCAACGCGCCGACCCCGACCTGACCACCCAGCGACACTGCAAAATCCCTCCCCGCCCGTCACTCTCACGGCGCCCCCGCACCCGTCCCGCAGGCGCGCTCTGATGCAGGCTGGTGACGCTAGGAACGTCTCCCCGTGACCTCTCCGACCCAAGCCTCGGGAAATCCTCGTGGCTCGCCAGCCCGGCGCGACTTGACCGCGCGGCCCCCTTTACCTGAGAGGCGCGGCCAGGTGCCCGGGCGCAGCCGCCACAAGGAGGCGGCCGCCGCGGCCCCTGCGTAACTCATCGCCGGGCTAGTTGAATGAAGCGGCCAATCGTGACCTTGGCGCGGGCTGATGACGTACCACAGACGTAGGGCGGACGCTGCTCACCCTGGCCCGTGGAAACGCCCCGAGGCCTGTTCTTCCATTCGATTGGTTAGAAACGGCCACTGGAAACATCCTATTGGATACAGTCTCTATCAATCACTCTGGAGAACGGCCGTGTTCAAGGCGCCTTGGGTTGTCATGGAGATGGGAATGCTAAATTGTTCTTAAAAAGATCCAGATGGTCCAGGTTTCTTTCCTAAGTTCCTGAAAAAGGACGATGAGGGAACTTTTTATTGACACAGACAAAGCATTTCTTGCTTTGCCTATATAAAAGACATTTTTATTAGTATCTTGCATTCACTTTAAAATAGAAATTACATTCTCTCTAGATGGTGGACAAAAGCTGACTTTAAATTTCTTCCTGGTCCATTTTCAGATTTTCTACAGAAAGCATCTATTGTAACTACTGTATTATTGGTGTATGTGTGTATACTGGTGCAAATTGGAGTACTTTTGGAGAGGGCTTAGCAATATAATATATATATAGAGACATTAGAGACAGAAAGCGAGAAATCACCCCCCAGGGGGGATGGTCACACCGCAATCCCTTCTCCTCCATTCTCCTCTCCGGATCTAGGGCATGCACGCACACGCGCCGGCGTGAGTTTTAAGCCACCGGGTCTGGGACGCGAACTGCGGTCGACTACGTGGGAGTCCAGCGACATAGCCATTACGCTAACTGCTGGTTCCCAATATAATAATACTTTTAAAAGTGCATATCCATTAATAGGCCAGTCTTACTTCTAGGGAGCTGCCTAACAAATTATTTTTTCAAATGAGTAATGTATGCATATGAGGGAAAATTAAAATCAAAGATACATGTCTGCGTGGATATATGACAGCACGTTTAATATTGGTAACATCAAAGGGTTGGGATTTTGAGGACAGGCTGTTACTTTCTACTTTACATCTTTGGATGATTATTTTATCCAACTTCACTATAGAACACTTTAAGATCCATTGTTGTAAAATAAATGAACTTAAGTGTCTAGTTTTTATATCGTTGAAGAGTATTGAAACTAACTCACTATAATAGTATAAAATAGTGATCTTAGTGAGAGTGACGGTGATGTAACATTTTCACATAAAACTCCTGGCTCTCAAATGCCTTAAAATGTCCAATGGCCCAACCATGTTGGCATAGACTGTGGGGTGCCACTACACAATACTGGGCCTATATGGGAAGGTCTGGGGTTCAGATCCCAGGATCCCAGATTGACTTGAACTTGCAGGGCATGCCTGTGAGCACAGGGTAAATCCTGGCTGGCTGGAAGGTGAGAGGGAGGATTACATTGTGGCAAGACCTTGTCAGGTGTGTGTCTATTGGTTATGAACTAAACTTTTTAAAAAATCAGAGGGCCAGAAGATGATGTACTGGATACATCACTAGACTCCCATGCAGTTGACGGCAGTTCCACTCTTGGACCTAGTGACTTAAAACTCATGCTGGGCGTGTATGCGTGTGCCCAAGACCCCAAGAGGAGAATGAAGGAGATGGGTTTGTGGCGTTTCCATCCCCCCTGGGAGGTGATTTCTTGCTTTCTGTCTCTGTCTCTCCAGTGAGTGCACATGCCCTATAGCAAAGATCTCTCTTAAAAAAAAAAATCAAACAAGCCATTAGCAAAGACATCCTATTTCCCATGCACTAGAAAGAATGTATGTGTGCACCAAATGGAATTTTTAAAAAAGTCTTAAAATATTGAAAGCTTTGGCCCAGCCCAGTAGTATAATGGTTAAGCTCTCCACGGGGAGCCAGATCCCACATGGCCCACTGCAATCTGAATCCCAGCCTCCATGGCTTGAAAAACACACTGGTCATGCATGTGTGCAAACCCCAAATCCTGATGGGGTGGAAAAGTGGAGGGAAAAGAACTGGCATAACTAACCTATTAAGGGGTACTTTTTCTCTCCCCTCTCTCTTGATGGGTAAAGGGAGAGAAAAATGGTTAGGTTGAAAGAAAAAAAAGTTCAAAATCTTTTCTGTAATCCCACTTAAGGTCTCTGCTCCTAAGGAATAAAAAAAGGGCAAGCAGGTGGCATGGAGGTTAAGGCAGCTAGGTTCCACATAGCCACCTGCATGGTTTGTGTCCTGGATCTGGCAGCTTGAAAATCACACCAGGTATGTGTGTGTGCATACCCAAAATCCTCAGAGGAAAATGGAGAAGGGATAGAGAGTGGTGTGGCCACCCCCCTGGGGAGGTACTTCTCACTTTCTTGCTCTGTGTCTGCCTCTAGCAAGTAACTGCATTTTATACAGCAAAACTTAGGGGAAAAAGAAAGGAAAAAAGAAAAAGAAAAAGAAAGAAAGAGAGAGCGAGAGAGAGAGAGAGAGAGAGAGAGAGAGAGAGAGAGAGAGAGAGAGAGAGAGAGAGAGAGAGAGAGAGAGAGAGAGAGAGAGAGAGAGAGAGAGAGAGAGAGAGAGAGAGAGAGAGAGAGAGAGAGAGAGAGAGAGAGAGAGAGAGAGAGAGAGAGAGAGAGAGAGAAAGAAAGAAAGAAAGAAAGAAAGAGGAAGGAAGGAAGGAAGGAAGGAAAAAGAAAATGAGAAAAACATGTTGACAAAGATTTATGGATGTTCCAACTAGTTATTACTAGAAAAATGTTAAGCAACAAATAAAAATTATGTAATGTTTATAAAGAAATTTTGATAACATTGAGAAGATACATTTTAAGTGCAAAAGAAGTAAGAATAACATTTTCTTTCTTCCCTCCTTCCATACTTTCTATCTCAAAAGAATTTCACCCAGGTTCACGGTGGGTGGCTATAAACAGTGCTAACGAATGATTTAAATTTTTACTCTGTAGCTTTTGGTCTTTCTCTGTATTTTCTGTACTAAATAAGTGTTTTATAATGAGATTGCAAAACTTCAGAAAGGCATACTATTCAAATGAATGGTGAATTCATGCATTATTTTTCTTATCTTTTTAAAAGATAAGGAATCTTTATCTCAAAGAGGTGAACACACTGTACAAAAGCAAACAATGAAGCCATTAGCAACACCACGCCATTTCCCACGCATTAGGAAGGATGTATGTGTGCACCGGGTGGGATCTAGGAGTCAAGGCACAACGTGTACAAAGAAGCCACTTTCAGAAGTTCTCTATACCCAAGTCAGAGCTCGTAGTGCCACACCAGTGAAATAATTCCTTTTTTCCCCAATACTTATGCAAGGGGTACCCACAATCAGATCTGTAGCTACAGGAATTTACTCTGCCAACTTAAGAGTTCATGCAAACTAAAGACTTGCCTAACTTGTTTCTTCTCTTTGCGGGGATGAAAATATTTTGTAATTGCAGAACTTGTAAGGCTGCCTTAAGAACAACACTCTGAAGCAGAGAATGAGGCAAGGCATTGCAGGGACTTTCAAAGTCCCAGCTCAGGTATTTGGGAAGAGAGAAGGGGTGAAGAAAACAATCTGAGTGGCTGCTAGTGGTCAAATGATTATATAAAGGGTACATTGGTACTGTTGAATGCTGTGTAGCCATTTGTTTTTATTTACTTTAATAGAATTAGTTGTTATTATTATTTTCCAATTTGCTATAGGGCATGCACCCTTACTAGAGAGAAACAGAGAGAGAGGGGGAAAGTAAGAAAGCCAAGCCACCAGGCCCAGGACTTGAACCGCAGTTGGCCATGTGGGAGTCCAGAGCCTTAACCATCAGGCCACCTGCTGGCCCTCTGTGCAGGCATCTAAAAGAATGAGGTAGCTGCTTCTATGGCAAGATCGTCCAGATGTTATTACAGGGGAAAACAGGGGAAGCTCAGAAATACATATGTCAACACACCCCTCCTCCCCCAATACACATATATATCTGCTTGGGTATGTGTTAAAATTCTCATTAGCCTAGGCCTACAGGGTCCTCAGTATCACTATCTTCCACCTCCACATCTTGTCCCACTGGAAGGGCCATGATAAACAAACCAACAGATTAAGTCAAGCACAGGGAAAATGATACAACCAACAGACACAGGAAATGCCAGATGCGTGAGGCTGCTGCCAGCAGAACATGTCCTACTTTTAGGTGGCTGGGAAAGTCATGGCCTACTTCCCTGTGCTTTTCCATGCAAAATGCGTCCTGACTTTCCTGATGACCCGCCATGTCACAGTAAACTTTATGAGCAGAGGCCCTCTCTAAAATAATGATAAAAGAGCAGTAAGTGCATGAACAGCAGCATAGCCCTTTATTATCAAGCATTCTGTACTGCGTGTTCTCATATGTGCTATGTTTTTATAGAATCGCAGCACAGGAGGTTTGTTTGCAGCAGTATCACCACAAACGTGCGTCATGGCTTGTGCTACGACATTACAACAGCTATGACATCACTAGGGGATAGGAATTTTCCAGCTCTAGTTCATCTTACGCGGCCACCATGGAATGCGCTGTCCATCACTGACCCAAGGTCGTTACGACTGTGTGTCCCTCCATGGTCACGCGACTGCTGACTAGCAGCCCCCGTGAATTCAAATATACACCATCACATTTTAAAATCTTCAAGGCACTTTAATCAGTAGTTTTAGCACACATCTGTTAGAGAGAACGCCACTTTAAAAATAAAAATTACACAGATATCACCTGAAGTTATAAAAACATATAAAAAATTGAAGAGGTATGCACATTCGTATTGAACTAAAACTAACGTGTTATTTAACATATTTCAGTATCAGTTTTATAACCGGCAGAGAGAACAGAGCAATATATTTTCACTGTGTCCATCATGTACCACCCGCCACCTGCCACACACACACACACACACACACACACACACACACACACACAGAAAACATGAATGTCCTCACAAGCCTGGTGTGGTAAGAAATTACATAAATTAAAGTACTCGGCACAAGTGCTTACCATTCAAATTTGTTTTTAAAGTGGGGATGGAATGGGCTTTTGGTTAGTCAAAATTCCATGATGCTAGTACTATATTTAGAAACTAATTAACCTTAACAAGATGGGAATAGACTGAAAAGCTCATTGGCCTCACAGGTACAAAAATATACCATGTTAATACAATCTTTGTGAAAGAACAAGAAAACAGCAGTGGCAAAGGGACAGGAATAGGGCAAGCTGATTTTGCTCTTCAGAGCAAAGAGCCAATCATTTTTGAGTGGTGGAGGAATCAAGTTGGGGTAGGAGTTACTCTTAACAGTAGCAGCTTATTAAAATCTGCATCCAACTTTCTGTTCCAGGCTATCCCCCAGGAAAGGTTTGGAGCAGGGAAAAGGAGGAAAACGATGGAAGGAAAGCTCACACGACCCCTTATGAAAAAGATTTTAAAGATACTGAAATGAAACTGATCATATTCAGTAAAAACTTAGGCTTCTATTAAAAGGTTCCTAGCTATCCACTTCAAATTAACTTATAATGAGGTATTTATTGCATATGGTTTTTCCTGTAACGGAAATCTTAAGAGATATTCTGTGTGTTTTATAAAATAAAGGCACAGGCATTTAATGTTTCCATGCACAGGAAAACAAACGAAAGCCCTTAAAAATGTGGGTATGTATATTTACAAAACCAGCATCCAATTCGGCATGGTACACATTCACAAACTAACTAGTCTGAAGAACTGGTTGACCCGTAACCCACATCCCAAAGCACTTAATGCACATAAACCCATGGCTCAAAGCAGCGCCTTCCAGCCTGGCTCTGTAGTAAGTGTCCCTCAGAAACCAAGATCTCACTGTAGCCCATGAAAGGAAACGACATTTGTCAGACTGGGAGACACGCTTTGCCTGCCTGCAGGTTTTGAAGGCATGGGGTAGGGGCGGGGGGGGGGGTGTCCTCTGCCAGTCTCTGAACTCAAGACCGATGAGAACTGAAGGCAGGTGGATAACCAGCCTTCTGGGGGGCAGCTTTCCCCTGAGTCATAAGTAAGGCTCCAGCACAATGCCCAGGAAGTGAACAAGGCTGGCACCCTGCAACAGTCCCCGCCCTGGGGGGTTTGATCGAGGGCATTGGGAGGCTTATTCACATGGCAGGGACAGGCTTCTCTCTCTCCTGCTACAAACATGGAGCTGAAATTATTAACCGTCCTCTCTGTGGTCTCACCTTCAGTTCCAAACATCAATATTCAAGGATTTCTCTTCATTTAAAAAAAAAAATTCAGGTTTCTCTTTAATAGAGCCATTCAAAGGGGTCACTGCATCAGGAGCACGCCTTGGCCTAGACCCCTAGAACATGGTCCAAAGAAACAGCCCACCTCTCCAGTGAATTGGAAGACCACACAAATAAGCGTGTGAAAACCAGAAGTCTCTCCTCCTTGATTTTTGGTGTGAGGGCTAGAATGGCATAATACGCTAGTTTCCTGGTGAATCATGGCCGAGCTGCTGCTCTATGGAAGAGATGGTTGTGCCTCCCGTGTTTCTGCGTCACTAAACAGGCCGCGTCAGGTAAACACGTGTAAACATGTCCGCCACACCTGCGCATACGGAGCCCCTTTCAGCAGAAGCCTAAACTCCAAAAAAATATATTTAGAAATTTCCGCATAAAACCCAGGTGGACTTGGCAGCTTGACAGTCACGCAGTCAGCTTAGAGCAGCAGGCGGCAGCATCCCACCGTCATTCTTGTGGGCTCCTGGTTTCTCTCTGGGCTTCTGTGAGTTTCTGGATTAGATAGCGCTTGTCACGACTTTCCTAAAAAAGGAAGTATACTTAATATGTCTGGAGATGCATATCGTTATCCCTACCTAGTGAATTATCTACCAGACCCGGGTGAGGTGACAACTCCGGACGACTGCGATCGGTGGCTCCGACCTGGTCTGCCTCTTTCACGCGTGTTCCCTCCACAGCCCCTTGGACAGCAGCTAATTACGTTTTTTTTTTTTTTTGTCTGTTGTTTTTGCTTTTTAATTTTTAAAAAAAAGAGAAAGAGACAAAGAGACACACAGAGAGACAGGTAACCCCAATTGGCTCCTCAGACCTCTCAGGTCTTGGCCAGCCCAGGCTGTGGGCACACGCCTAGTGTTCATGTCCTCAGCATGCTCAGGGAGGTCCCAGGATGCGAACCCAGGACCTTTCCCTTGTGGATCCATTGCATGGCTACTGTGCCAATGCCTGGCCCCATGCAACCATGATTATTTTTCAATGCACATCAGATTTCTACGTAACACCCTCTGGTGGCTTCCCTTCACACTGAACAAAACCCAAGCTTCTTAGCGGGGCCCTCAGGTGACACTAAGACTGGCTGACACACAGCGCTATCATCTTGCCTCTCCCATCGCTCACCACCCTCCTGGCCCCCAGCAGTGTCCCTCTGCCTCTTACTCTCCTCCCATTAGACCTCTGATCATGGGCTTGTTCTGTCATTCAAGTCTCCGCTCTGATGTCACTTGTTGAAGACGCCTTGCACAGCCACCACCTATAGCAGCGATGGCCCACTCGTCACTCTGCCTTGTTTATCTTCATGGCAGTTACGGTTATCAGAACTTCCCTCGTTTCTTTAACTATTTAGCAATTCTGTTACTCTTGTTCACCAGGGAATTCCAGCACCCGGCACAGAAGGAGGCTCAGAGTTGGTGCTCAGTATTTATGCTGAGGAATGGCTGAGTCAAGTGAATGAGCAGACTGGAGCGGGCAGGCCTGACACAGAATTAAGGAGAGGTGGCAGTCGAGGGGGCTGTGGCAATTCCACTCCCTCCCTGGGGAAAGCACCATATTCCCTGTGGTGTCCTGGATTCGTGTCCCCAGTTGTGACCCCTGGGTCAGGTCTCCTTACCAGGGACAGCTGCTCTCGGAGCTGGTCGACCACCCGTTTGTGTGCTCCAGCGAGGGCAATGAAGTAGAACATCACGAGGCTGCAACACAAGATGGCAGGTCACTAGGGAGTCTGTCACTGGAAGGCCACTAGAAAGACAACCCATTCTGCCTGGAATAGTTTTACTTTTGTTAGGGAAAAAAAGGAAATGGTCATCCCTCCCAAGCCAGGGGTAGGAGGAACTGCCAGTGGAGTTGGTATGCGGGAGTGGCAGCAGTCTGGTACATGCACTGATAAATATATATATTTTTACATTTCTGCCTTAGGGCGCATGCACTCGCCAGACAGCGGGAGAAAAAGTAAGAAATCACCCCCAGAGGGGATGGCCAAGCCACAGTTCCTTCTCCTCTATTCTCCTTCTGGGATCTTGGGCACACATGAATGCACATGTGCCTGGTGTGTTTCAGGCAGCTGGGTCCAGGACTTGAACCACAGTCCGCCATGTGGGAGTCCAGCGATGTAACTGCTACACCATCTGCTGGCTCCATGCATTGCTTTCTACGTTAATTCTAAACAATGCTGATGTTCCTGGGCACATGCAAAATGAGAGGAAGAAAAGGAGGCAGTCTTAGAAAGTCAGCATGTTATGTAATTAATGGTGAAGCCTCTCTGGTCTCAGTTTCCTTATCTGTAAAACGGGGCTACTGTAGGAAAACCTGGTGATAACAAGACTGGTGTAAGATGCTTTTGATGAAAAGCAAGCAACAATTGGTTCCCACGTCTGTAAGCCAAGATCTCAAATGGAGGTGACTGAAGTTTTTATTTTTAGGGATAGGGGTGGGTGGAAGCACCAAGAACCACAGCAGCAACCTCATTTAATGAAGGGAGGTGGCTTCCTGTACCGTTTCCCCAGCAGGGCTGAAATGACGGCCAAGTCACCAAGAGATCCCTGGAATCAGTGATATCCAAAATACTCTCCTGGGAGTCCCTGCAAGCCAGGAGGCAAGACTAGCTCTCACGGATACTGGTGTCAGGTCAAATAACCACCCCCACCCCAGCTGGTGCCAGGAAAAGCACAGTTGGGGTAGGATGGAGCAGGTGCAGCCCTGGATCCTGCGGATTCCAGGCTCGCTAGTGGCACAGGCCCCACTTGGGGGTGCTCTCTCCTCTTTTTCTCTGCCCAGAAATCAGTTCTTTTTGCAAAGAGCAAGAGATTTGGTGAATAACCGTAAGTTTTAATGATAGGAAATGTTTACTGGGTTTTCCAGGCATTGGGCTAAGTGCCCAACGTATGTGATTTTACTGAATCCGTTGAACCATTCTATAGAAGTTACTAATAATATTATTATCTTTTAATAATTTTTATTTGCTATAGGACATAGGTTCTTGTCAGAGAGACAAAGAGAGAGAAAGTGAGAAAGTACCCGCAGTGGGGAAGGTCTCCTCTGCTCTCCTCTTGGGATTTTGGGCAAGCATGCACACACACCTGGCGTGTTTTTCAAGCTGCTGGGTCCAGGACTTGAACCACACAGTCACTCATGTGGGATCCAGCTGCTTTAACCAACACACCACCAGCTGATGGTAACTTACTATTATTATACTGCTTTTAGATGGAGGCTCAAAGGAGGTCAGGAACTGATCAAGTCTGGAAGGTGCTTCCCTCCCACCGACTCTCCAGTGGAGAGCTGCCCCCGTGGTTTGGTGGGAAATACTCGCTGGAGTCCAGGCGGGTCTCACTCACCAGATGATCATGAAAAAAGGCACCGCGAAGGCCTCTGACGTGATGCCATGGACCAAGGACTGCAGCGAGCTGGGGAAGGTGCTCACCGTCTTGGGGATGACATCCCAGGTGGTGTTGAAGTTGGTGAATGGCCCACAGGCTTTTGAGGAAGGAATGCTGTCAAAACATGGGTCAAGGGGCTCAGGACAAGGCATGCACAGGCTGTGTGGCTCTGCACCCAGGACACTCTGCCAACAGTGGCCTACAAGAAATCACCTGGCCTCACGGGCCTTCTGGAATTTTCTGCTCAAAAATATTTACCTTGAAATCTCTTCAAGTCTCTAGACTATAGGAAATTCAACACAGAAGTGCAAGTTAAATACATGCATGGTAAGAATATAATCAGAAAGATTCAGAATGTGAGGCTTCTACAGTTCTGGACTCTTGAAAGAATCAAAGATTAAAAGAGACTAAGGAGGGGCTGGGTGGTGGTGCAGTGGTTAAATGGGATGCTCTCTCCTGGAGTGTTCTGTCTCTTTCACTCTGGGTCTGTCTCTCTCAGTCATGGGAGAGATAAATGCATTTTTTATAAAAAGAGACTAAGGAGACAGAGCAAGTGAAAGAAATGAGAGAAATGTGAAAGGTCATGACTTTTGAAATACAGCTGAAAAACACTTCTGGGACAACTAAAGTCTGGAAATGGCAGAAGTAATACATTCATTTTCTTAGGTGTGATGTTATTGAAAACGAGATGAAAGAGAACGTCCTCACGTGCTACTTGCCCAAGTATCTCAGGGTGAAATGTCGTGGTGCCTACAACTTCATTTCAAATGGCAAGAGCCTGCCTGGCACACTCAGAGAGGTCTCTAGACTTGAACCAAGAACTTCTCATGTGGGTCAGCCTTGCAGAGCATTCATTTTACCACTGTACCACTGTCTGGCCCTTAAACCCACAACTTCTGACCCCTGGTCCAGGGCGTTTCTGCTCTGTCCAGGCTCCACACCAGACTGGATATTCCTATGCCACATCCTAATCATCTTTAGTTTCAGCATCTGGCATGGTGTCCAGCACATAGAAGGTGCTTAGCAAGTGTGTGCTAAGTACAAGACCCCCAACCGACTCGAATAAAGGTGACTTCCTCCTTTCTTCTGCTCTCCCCTGCTCCAAGTCTTCTACAATGACCTTGTATTATTTTGATAATCAGAAATGAAACAATCCAAAAGGGGACTAAAAGAGAGATCCTCAGAAGAGGGAGCAGGGGACGACAGACCCACCAGCACTCACAAACATGGTAAGAGGAAAGCCCAAAGTCCCGTCATGGACCGAGGCAGTCCATTTCCAGAGAGAGACTGTGAAACAAAGACGGCCTGGCTAAGCCTTGGGGACTTGACTTCTGCAGCTGGAACACCACGAGGAGAAGCAGTGATGAATGTAGGCCCAGCTGCGGTAGCACAAGCGATTTCTCAGGAGGCTGAGGCCACATGGGAGGCCCGGGTTCAATTCCTGACCCACCCTAAAAAGTTGGCTTAATGGTACACACCTATAGTCCCAGCTACTCAGGAGGCTGAGGCAGGAGGATTATGACACAATGAAACCCTGTCTAAACACCACACATATACACATCCATACATACAAAGGGAGAAAAAAAAAAAAAGACTGGGCCCTTTAACATAAAAGAGGATTATATTACAAAGCAATGACATTTCTAGAAAACAAACTTGTATTTACCGTGACATGCTGATCGTCAGAGGTATTATTGCCAAACACAGCCCAATCAACAACACCAGCAGGAAGAAGAAATTAGAATTGGATGCTCTGAACTGCCTCGGAGAGGGTCTGCAGGTATAAAGAAGACTCAACTAAGAAAAGAAAAAGAAAAAATAAAGAGCAATGAGTACGGCTGCCATGAGGCGAAATGAGCACATTCCTGTATGACAGTGAGCATGTACATGGGTCTGACCTTTCTATCCAGAAACACAGATCAAAATGAAAAATGGGTCAGCCGGAGCCCAGCCTTGGGAAATTCACGCTGATAACATAATAGGAAAGACAAGCCAAAACACAGGTATATGGATGTTCAGTGCTGCAGATGTTGATAATGGAATAACAGACAATGGAATAATGAAGCTACTAAAGGAGGTTATTATAGGTCGAAGTACAGTCATGCGTGGAATTCCACAGGGCGCTTAGAATGGATGAGAGCCCATCACACACCCACTGTGCGGGTAGCACTGTGAAATGAAAATGGTAGACCACAGATTCTTGGACCATCTGGACTCAGTTCAGGTTTACTTAGTTACTTATGTATGTGTGTATGTATGTATGTATTTAATAAGGCGTGTGCTTGCCAGAGAGAGAGAGAGAGAGAGAGAGAAAATGAGAAAGCACCCCCCTCCCTCATGGGGGATGGCCATGCCACAGTCCCTTCTCCTTTACTCTCCTCTCGGAGTTTTGGGCACACATGCATGTTTTTCAAGCTGCCAAGTCCAGACACGGACCATGCAGTAGGCCATATGGGATCCAGCTGCTTTAACCTCCGTGCTATCTGTTGGTCCATGGTTTTTTGCTTATTTTTTAAAAGTAGTAATTATCTACTGGAGTTTAAATAGTATAAATGGACTTACAATAATATATAGAAAATTAAGAGGCATTTTGCTTGAATTTTTTTAGGAGCACAAATATTTTTCCTATATACTCAAAATAAATTAATTCCCACTGAGAGGAGGAAAGACTCATAGGAAATCTCAAGTGGGGAGGGGAAGAGGGGCATTGTAACAGACATGAAATTGCTCAGGGACTTTAAAAAGCTGTGTGATGAGCATCAAGCTTTTGTGGATTCTCGGAGCCAGGGCATCTTGTGAGCGGAAAGATACCGAATCCGAGAGCCACATGGTGCCCTGCCCCGGGCAGCCTGGAGAGTGCTGAGGAGCCCCCATGCTGAGCCCCATCCACTGCCCCAGGCTGTCATTACTGGGTACCCACTGGCTAACCAATATTTCCGAGAAGAGGGGAAAAAACCAGTTTGTGTCAGCCTTTTCACATCCATCTTTCTTTTGATAATTTCGGCCAACTGGAGTTGCCAGATGAAAAACAGCACCAAAGAATGCTTCAAAGGTCAGAACATCCAGGTAGAGGGTGGGCCTGATTCAAGGCCCTGCTCATCGAGGTACGAGCTTAGGTGCTGGAGTGAGATAAATCTGGATTCAAATCCCAGGGCTCATGTGTGACCTTGGGCCAGCTACTTAACCTCTCTAGACCTCCACTTCCTAGTTTGTAAACGAGGGCACCTATTGCAAAGGGCGGGTGTAAGATAACATGGTAACCAGTGGACAGTGGGGCGCAGAGGGCACCCGGTGGCACTATCTACTATCACGACCACCATCTTTAGTAACACTTATTATTTCCATTTGCGACTCCTCAGGGCTTGGCATGGTCAGTAACTGTGGGGCTTGTTAACAGCTTGTACCTAGGGAAGTTACTGTATACATATCTGTATTATTTAAATGTTTAATAATGAGAATATGTTGCCACTGCAATACAGAAAAATGAAGTCAGGTTAGTAAGGCCAGATAAGCCAGCCATCTGTGGGTCACTCTGCCCATTAGTACTGGCACAATACCGAGGGACTGTGAGCTGTCCAAGGGCCCACAAAATCACTGGTGCCTGAAAAATAAGTGCACTGGCTCCAAAATCAAACAGAAATGATTCCATTTTTGCCAAACCTTGCTAAAATATACCACTGCTGACTAAAACTCACCTGTTAGTTACACATAAATACATTTAAGACACAGAAGCAAAACAATTTTAAGAGATTTTTGCTATGGGGCACATGCTCTCGATGGAAGGGGACGTGCACCAATGGAGAGATGGAGAGACAGAGACAGGAAGGGAGAAATTGCCCCCCAGGAGGGATGGTCACACCACAATTCCTTCTCCTCCATCCTCCTCTCACGGGATCTTGGGCACGCACGCACATGTGTCTGGCATGAGTTTTTAAGCTGCCAGGTGTGGGACTCGAACCATGGTCGACTATGTGGGAGTCCAGGGATGTGGTCCCGCCAAAACAATTCTTAACATTCTAAAAAGTGTAAAAATGTGAAATAAAGATATGTTAGATAGGGATATAATTTCGTTATGTCTCACAGTACGTAGGGTAGGCTCCAAATACACGAATGCCTTGCAAGGTCAAAAGAGGTCCAGGGTATGGACTCCCAAGTCCACCTGTCCTTACCTCCTTCACATAAAAGATGATAATGAATTTCAAGGTTGCAATGGCAGGGAGAAGGGGCGAGAAAAAGGCTCCGATCCAGCAAATCGTCTGACCATAAACGATCCCCAGGACGTTATCCGGGATGGCGAACTCCTGCTGTCCCCAGCACTGAATCAGCTTCCAGGAGGAACAGTAGGTCACCAGCAGCCTGGAAACAAACCAGGCAATGTCTCACCAGACGCACGGCGTCTTCCAAGGCCACAGGCCCACAACCACAAAACCAGGGCCATTCCCACCCACCCTTCTCATGGAAACTGGCCAGCTATGTGTCTTGAAGATGCAGGATACAGTAAACTCTGGTGCCATTCCAGGGCCTGAATCTGGGATCTGCAACTTAGCATCCCCGTCAATACCAGTGCCTTGACTTTGAGAGCTTTGTTCTTCTCACCTGGAATGTGGGGGGATTATTATATGACCTCCATCACAGAGCTGTGGTGAGAACGAATGCCATGTTTGTGCTTGGGCTTGCTACGCAGCATGCAAAGCACTGTGTATCCACACAGAAAATGGCTTAGGGTGGGCCAGACAATGGCGTGGCAGTGGAACCGGATGCTCTGGGAGGATTGCCCATGGGGGAAGGGTCCTGGTTTGTATCCAGAGACCTCCCGGAGGATGTGGGGCCCGTCTGTGCACGTGATCTAGGCTGGCTGAAACGGGGGCTGGACTGAGATGCTGAGACCCTGTCAGGGGGATCTGGTCTCTCTCTTTTTCTCTCTCATGGAAGATATAATAAACTTAATGTTTTACGACAACCCTGCAATGCTGCCTCCAAGGATCCTAGAAGCTTCCCACAGAAACTCTAGGACCAGGAACCCACAATAAATACAGGAGCTTACTGCAGCATTGCCACACGTTAGCAAAATGACTGGAAACCTGAACGCACACCAGTGGGGGCCGCACCGATGAATGAGAAGCTGCGGATACAGAGAAAATCTGTAAAGGCCTTAGGATGAATGAGGGAAATCCATGTGTCCTGACGTGGAAAGTTCAGATTATTTTGGTATTTGAAACTGATCTGTGGCATTTTCTTTGCATGGGGGAGGGAAGCAGCTGCAGAAATGTGGATGACAGGGATCGCATTTATGAGAGGGGAAAAAGGACACGTGCAACAAGACTGCACGTTTGCCTACACGTGTGCTTACAAGATAGTTTCATTCTATTTCATTTAAAGATGGCTGGATCTATTTCAAAGGGTTAATAACGGCCACCTCTGAGAAGTGAAGAGGGATTATGGAGTTATGAAATACAGCAACTCAAGAAAACCTCCGCTATTCTCCAGACTTCAGTATTTTTTTGTCTTTCTTCTTTTTGTTTTTGCTTTTGTCAGAGGGCGCGTGTGCTCACTGGAGAGAGAGACAATGAGAAGGAAAGTAAGACGGCCATGCCACAATCCCTTCTCCTCCATTTTCCTCTCGGGATTTGGCCATGCAGGTACCCATGACCGGTGTGATTCTCAAGCTGCTCGGTCTGGGATTCGAACTGTGGAGTTGACCATGTGGGATCCAGTGCCTTAACCTTCACGTCACCTGCTGGCCCAGAATAGCTTCTCTTTTTTTGAGAGATTTTGGTTATAGGGTGCTCACCAGAGAGACAGAAAGTGAGAAATCACCCCCCCTCCCCAGGGGGGATGGCCACACTACAATCCCTTTTCCTCCATTCTCTCCTTGGGATTTTAGGCACACATACACGTGCCTGGCGTGAGTTGTAAGTTGCCGGGTCTGGGACTCAAACTGTGGTCGACTACGTGGGAGTCCAGCAGGGTAACCATTATACCATCTGCTGGTCCCACAGTTTCTTTTTTTAATGCTATGTTTAAGGGCTCACTGGGTCTCTTGCCTATGCCTGGATTATCTGTATGGGTCAAAAAGAAGTGAAGTGAACAGTTTCACTTAAGACTCAAGGAGGTGCTAAGAACTAAAACGACCACAGGGCAATGTGCAAGGACGGTAGCCGTGCTGGTCGAGCCTGTGCCGTGGAGTGTTTCGGGGGCTTCTGTCTGCATTAACTCACCGCTGGCAGCACGGCTGTGAGGGGAGTACGATACCACCCCATTTACAGGCGAGAAAGGAGACACAGAGTCAGATAACTTGCACAAGGTCGCATGACTAGCAAGCACCAGGGCCAGGGCTTGAACTCAGATCTGGAAGTGTGGGATCAAGTGGAGAATCCTCAATGCCAATGCCCATGGCCATGCTGATGGCAGAAAGTGATCCCCAGAGAGCGCAGGGGCAGTCGTGCCGTTTCGGCTCTTTGTGCTCCCTTTAGATGGGGCAGCAAAGGGACGAGGGGCCAAAGCCTGGCGCTGTCTACAACTCATCACCATCTATGGAGTAGCCTGGCACTTTGTGGGGAGCGGCTCCAGTGGAAGTCTCTAGTCGCTGGGGCCGGGGGGAGGGGCAGAGAGCACACCTCACACTTACTTCCTAGGAAAATCCACAAACAGTGTCACAGCCAAGATGATGATGAAGTCGAAGATCATCAGCTTGTACATTTCCTGCCCGACTTGGGTCTCCCAGCACTGAAACCAAAGAGGGGGAAGAAAATGAGAGGCCCTGCCTGGGCCAGAGGGGGCAGGCTCCAGACTCCTTCCCACCCCTTCCTACCTCCTGCCCACTGTCCCTGGACAGGACACCAGCGCTGTGTGTCTGAGCCCAGACATAGACTTCAGTTGTCATGCCCTGTTAACGGTGCCTAGCCTGGCCCCTGCTTTTTCTTTTGAGAGATTTTTGCTACAGGATACGTGTGCTCACCGGAGACACAGAAAGAGACAGAGAGAGAGAAAGTCAGAAATCACTCCCCAAGGGGGATGGCTAAACAACAATGCCTTCTTCTCCATTCTCCCCTTGGGATTTTGGGATTTGGGATCATGTACACACGTAAGCCTAGTGTGAGTTTCAAGTCGCAGGGTCCAGGACTCGAACCTTGGTAGGCCATGTAGGAGTATAGCATTTTAATCACTACACCACCTGCTGTTCTCCCCCACCCCCCTGCTTCGTAGCTGGAGCTAGAAAGTGGAGCACCTGGGGTTCAAACCAGTGGCTCCAATGGCTGTTCACGTGACTGACACCACCCCCCTAGAAGGCCCACCCAGAAGGATGTCCCGTCCCCACAGCTCACTGGGTACAGTCTTTGGTTGTAGCCACAGAGCTCGCACGTGTCGTTACCGCACGAGGTGATCTTGGAGCCCAGCGTGAACACCAGCACACAGATGGTGGCCAGCTTCATGAAGACGCACCTTTAGAAGGGAAGAGAGGGAGAGGCAGTGAGGCCCTCGGGGTAGGCTGAGAATGGGACTAGAGAATGCAGAAACTGTCGTTTTTTTTTTTTAAAGCTACTTTTTGCTTGAGAGAGAGAGAGAGACAAGTACCCTCAATACAGCCTCATGCTGCAACCCCCAGTCTTTCCAGCTAGCTAAGAACACCTGCGAAGGTGCCCACATGCACAGGCTGACCTGGGACCAGCCCAATCTTCTGCACGGCTCGTAGCAATGCAGAGTTGTGCTACTGTAAAGCGGCCACAGTGGGGCCCGAGAAGCCTTTCTTATAAGCAAACCACAAATGGGGACAGAGTATCTGTTAGAGATGATGAGAGAATTCTAGAAATGGATGGCGACAACAGTTTCACAATACCGGGAAAAGTCTTAAATCACTGAATTGTACACTAAAAAGCGGTTAAAGTCAGGGCTGGATGAAGGCACAGTGGTATCGCAATGCTCTGCAAGGCTGACCCCACCTGGGAAGGTTCCCAGTTCACATCTAGAGACCTCCCTGAATATGTTGGGCCCACACATGCCCGGGATTCGGGGCCAGCAGGACCAGGGGGTGCACTGCGGTATCAAGACCCTACGTAATGGCTATGTCGCTGGACTCCCACGTAGTCGACTGCGGTTTGCGTCCCGGACCCGGTGGCTTAAAACTCATGCCGGGTGCGTGTGTGTGCGTGCCCAAGATCCCAAGAGGAGAATGGAGGAGAAGGGATTGCGCCGTGACCATCCCCCCTGGGGGGTGATTTCTCGCTTTCTGTCTCTCTGTCTCTCTCTGTCTGTCTGGCGAGCGCACGCACCCTATAGCAAAAACCTCTCCAAGAAAAAAAAAAAAAAGACCCAGGTGGGGGGTACCTGTCTCTCTTGCTTGTGGAAGAAATACACAGTAATGTAAAACCTTTATTCCTTCTTTCAGATTTTGCCACAGGGCACGTGCACTCACTGGAGCAACAAAGAGAGACAGAGTGAGAAAGAAACTGAGAAAGCACCCCTGGGGGGATGGCCATGCCGCAATTTCTTTTCTTCCATTCTCCTCTCAGGATTTTGGGCACACGTGCACTCGTGTCCAGTGTGTAGTTTAGAGCGACTACGTGTGCAGAATAACAGACATGCCAGGAAGAAACAGAACTAAATCCAGAACAGAACAAAGGACTCGCTTTCTCCCACAAATCAACAGCAAAACGAAAGGGGAGGGAGCCAAATGCAGCATGTTTGGACCATGTTTGGGTCCTGATTTAAACAAACCAACTATGGAAAACTATCTCCAATCCATCAGAGAGGCTGACTCAATCTGAGAGGCATGACAATGGTCATATTAAGGGAAAACAGTTCTCATCACCAGAGCCACAGTGAAGTGTTCCCAGGTGAAGTGACTCACTGCTGGAGACTGGCTGAGAGGAGCCCAGCTAGAGTGGGAGGGATGGATGAAACAAGGTTAGTCAAATGCTGGATGTGCACACGATGGTTCATGACCCCATCTGTCTTGTGTGAAAACTTCCAAAGTAAAAAGCTTTTTCACACAAAGAGATGCATGAAATCTCAGGTAGGCATCTGAGGAGCAGGAAGAACCCTCTTCAGTTCCACACTGTTCCTACCTGGTCCTCTTCACCCATTTGCTAATTCCTTGGGCTCTGTCTTCCAATGTCATTTCAAGCACTTTCAGGGCAATACCTTCTCCCAGGGCCCGACCCTGTGCCCTCAGCTGCTGATATGTGAATACATATACAGATCAGAATTAAAATACAGTCATCCCTTGGTATCCGTGGGGGGCTGGTTCCAGGATTCCCCACGGATGCCCAGGTGTTTTACAGTCAGCTCACTGCATGTACAGGTTTTTCATCTGCAGATATGGAGGAAATATGATTTGCAGCTGGCTGAATCTGTAGATGTAAAACCCATAGATGCAAAACTTGCAAATACAAGGGGTTGACTATACTGATGAGTAGACTCAAGTCAAACCAATTTCGCTGCATGTATAAACTCTGATCCAAAGGCTGAGAGGAATTCTTGGCTCAGGAGGAAAATGTGCCACAACTGATTAGCAATGTCTGCCATAGGCAGGGGAGTGGACAAGCGATGGTCTGCCTGGCACATCTGCCATCCTCGAGTTAGGCATTACCTAAGGATTGTCAGTCGTATCTCAAAGCCTGGGGAGTAATCCTCATAGTGAATGATCTTGGCAAAGACCAGTGGGGTGATAAAATTGGCCAGCGTGATCACAATAGACGGTAGGTACAGTATCAAGAGGTTCTCTCCAAAAACCATCTTGTCAATTTCCTAGAAAGATAACAAAACCAATAGGTCAGGATTAGAATAAAGGAAGTTACAACATAAACAAATGGAACTGAAAGAGCTCAACTACGTTTATTTGGCAAAAACAAAATACACCAAACTTACATGGGGGGATGGCCTTCAAAAAGTTCATGGACTTTCTGTATTATTAAAAAAAAAAACTATGCATGGATTTTAAATATTTTTACACCAAAATAAACCCATACTTTAATTCTGTTTTGTTTTGTTTCATTTTTTTTTAGAGGTTTTTGCTATCGGGCACGTGCACTCGCCAGAAAGACAGAGAGAGACAGAGATAGAAAGCGAGAAATCACCCCCCCAGGGGGGATGGCCACGCCGCAATCTTGTCTCCTCCATTCTCCTCTCAGATGTTGGCCACGCATGCACACGCGCCCGGCGTGAGTTTAAGTCACCAGGTCTAGGACTTGAACCGCAGTTGACTACATGGGAGTTCAGAGACATAGCCATTACGCTAACTGCTGGTCCCTTAATTCTGTTTTTTATAGATTTTTTTTTT